CAGAAAAACATGTGCAGATTTTGGAGCTGTGATTCAATTGACTGCACACAAATAACTAAGCTTAAGTCTAGACTTATAATCTACCGCAGATTACAGTGCTTCTAGGAATAAAGCCATGTGTTTGTGACAGGTAAATACACACCTCTCAGCACGCATAGAGCAAAACATGCTGCCAAGAAAAATGTAAGGATATACATCAAATGGTAGAAGCCAAAACAACTTACTCATTATGGTGACAAAGTCTCTCTCCAATCCTGTTTTTACTAATCTAGCCCAGAGCAGGCAGAAAAATAGGCAAAGCAAGGAAGGTGGATGGTTGGAATGACAAGCAGTTAGATATATCAAAGGGATAACTAGTACCATGTTAAAAGAACCCAAGGAAAGAAACTGGATATGAGATACAACAGAACGTGCACTAACACTGACTATGGGTTGTAAAACTAGTCTAAATATTCCATCACTGGACATTCTATATCTGAATACAACAAAATACATGCAGAGTTCAGGCCTATTTATTTATTACAAAAAACACATCACTCAAGGCAAGAAATGATTTTTGATTCATTTTACTGATTCGTTTCTCCTTACCACAGAAGAAGTTTACTGTGAGTTTCATTAGAAATGTAAATGAATTGCATAACAGTGAAGGCATTGTCATAATTCTAATTGGCAATAAAATTCTGTCCAATCGACCACCTAGCTAGAAACTAAGAAATCATAGAATCTTAACTCTCAAAATACATGCATCAGATTTGCCATTGCATGAAATTTAATGAAAATAATATTGAAATGCCAAATGCTTCAAACTCATGAACCCTGCCTGATTTGGATTACTTACTAAAATGACAATTCTTACAACTGCTTCAGTCATCAGCACAATAATGGATTCCAAAGCAATGCAATGGGTATGATGGTTGCAAACAGTTCACGATGGTTTTATTTAACATGAAATGTTGCAAAATGATTAAAAAGCATGCAATGATGTGAGAAAAATAGAAGACATATTCAAGTGTATACATAAAGTTGAGATATACAAACTGAAACATAAATCAAACCTATTCACGCTACTACCCAGCAATGTTCAAGCAGATAAAATAAAATTTCACATCAAACCTACCAATACACTTTGTCTGTTCTCTTCTTTGGCAATAATCAGGGCTGTTTCTTCCTGCGAGAACTTCATTACTGCTGCTATAACTTTGGCCATGGTCTGGAGGTAATGCAACAAAATGTGGTACAACAGATATTATGAAAGCCAAAAACTGTAAAATGGTATGTGACTTTTCAGAGCCGATGATGAGAAATTGTATTCAGTGATAGATACAATGTACATCGTTCATTGCATTAAATTTTATTATTATTATTATTATCATCTTCTGACTCAAACTTGCCATGGGAATGAAATCTGATGTAGGTAGAAGCTTTGGCTGCCTTTAATCTACAGTTACAGTTTTATAGCTGGTGGTGTACACATGCCTCAAACTCCTATAACAGAATTTGTCAACCAATTATATCACACATTCTAGAAAGCGGCATGTAACACAAAGGCTCACCTTAGTCTCTTTACCAGTCATATACGCAAACAACACTTTTCTTAAATACTGAAAGAATAAAAATACAGAATAAGTGTGATAAGCAACAAAATTAGAAATGCACATGTAGTTGTAATATACAAAAACGCATAATGCAGAACAAAATATTCAATATACATATAAATTTATAAACTGCATCCCATTCCTGACCTAGAATTTAAAACCAGTATACAACAATGATAAAGAGTATGATCACATATTTTATGTTATGAGCCTACCTCTAATTCAGTTTGTTCAGTAAGCAAAGGACCACAGGCACCTGGACTTGATGGTAACGATGAACTGTTACCAGTATATGGTGATCCTATAAGACATACATAAATTATTGCACATAGAGCAACTATTTACTTCACACGTTTCCAATGCACAAATCTGAGTTGCCAATTGTGCATTTCAGTTTAAAATTGATAATATTGGTGCCCCCACAAAATAAAATGCACCAACAAGTCATGAACAGATGGGAATATGAAATTATTTGAATTGACAGTAATAATGTTAAAAGGTATTAGGCAAATCATTTAATAACTACTCTAAATAAAATGTACCTGGGTAAGCCATAGACACTTCTTTCTTCGCTGAATTCATTGTGTGTTCAAATCTGGCTTCAAGTGCTTTAAATGCCATTTGCATCTCATTCAATTCTCCCTTGGTCTGAGCAAGTTCCGCCTAGTAGCATGAATAGAATGACATAAATATGCATATGCTGTGAAATCGTCACTGCATTAGGTAACATTTCACAAAAATCGCGTGAAATTATCTCTTGTAAGTGGTTGAGCAATAGGCATGAGCAGCGGATATGAGTAACGGGCATGGGCACAAGAAATTGGTATGAGTAATGTGCATGAGTAATGAGCACAAGCAACGGGCATGACTAATGGACATGAGTAATGAGCATGGGCACAAGAAATTGGTATGTGTAATGGGCATGAATAATGGACACAAGTAATGAGCACAAGTAATGAGCTCAAGCAATGGGCATGAGTAATGAGCATAGGCACGAGAAATTGGTATGAGTAATGGGCATAGGCACGAGAAATTGGTATGAGTGATGGGCATGAATAATGGACACAGGTAATGAGCACAAGCAACGGGCATGAGTAATGAGCATAGGCACGAGAAATTGGTATGAGTAATGGGCATGAGTAATGGACACAGGTAATGAGCACAAGCAATGGACATGAGTAATGAGCATGGGCACAAGAAATTGGTATGAGTAACAAAGCACAATCAATAGGCATGAAGGAAAACATTTAGCTATGAGAAATGGAAGCATAACACAAGTCAACAAAAAACAATGTATCCAGTAGAAATGTAGAGTTTCTAGTTCTTTTAGAGGGTGGTACTGGGAAGGTAGGTTTAAATTTCAAGATTATCAACATAGCTTAGTGTTTCCAACTAAGATGCAACAGTTAACTCAAAAAGGGTTTTTTAGTATAAATTAATCAAAAATCTTCACCTCAAGATCCAAATTCCTGAATTCTAACTCCTGCAGTTGAGACTCTTCATAGTCTTCATCAAAGGTGACCTTTTTAATTTTGGATGAGTTGACCGGAGTGATTGGTCCTTCTTGAATTAAAGGTGGTGGAAGACTTCCTTGCGTCATTTCCTGCATCTGAGCTAAGTCAATTCTGTAAGAAAAATCACCAGTAAAAAAATATAACAGCAGTGGTGATTATGCTGTCAATGTCAGGAGAGTTCAAAATATTGTTTTTGAAATCCGGAAAAATTGCAATACTTGTATTCCAAGTAGAGAAACAGCAATGAATTATATACTCAAGCACTGCTCAGAACGTATGATGCAGCTGTTCAGTGAAAAAAATACGTAATAACGCCAGTAGGACACTAAAGGAAAAATGTTGTTGTATACACATTATCTTTTTGCATGTGTTAGTTAACCAAGTAACATGGCAAACTAACTATATTCCATCTTAAAACACATTGACAGCCACAGCTTCAAATCCACATGTATTTCTGGAACTACTGTGAGTGATGTGAAAATGTTGGATATCAAAGAAACCCATGCCAGACATAACCAATAAACCTGTATATAAATAACATTACCTATGCCTTTTCTCTATATCTTCTATCTGCTCTTTGTGCTCTGCTGCCTGTTTTTCAAGCATACTCAAGGATGACTCTTGTCCTTGGGAAGCAGCCACAGCTATATTTCGTTGTTTGACGAGTTCCTACAGTTTAGAAATTACACACTTATCGAAAGCACGGTATACAGAAGACTGACACAGTTACAACATCAAGATTAATCTAACTATCTGATTACTCTAGGTCATGTGACCCATTGTTCTGGTCGTAAGTTTATTTTTTGTAAATACACAAGTTCCTTTATTTTTATGCAGATTGTAAACGCAGTTGTATTCAAACACAAAGAGTAATCACTACAGATAACTGTACATAACTTGTAAAATAGGAGTGTAAGTCAGGCCTTGGTTAAGACTGTGCAGCTTTAGTCAAGGTGCAACACCTGGAGCTGACAAGAAGAGTTCTTCCTCAATTATTGAAAACTTTGGTCACGAGTGGGGTTCAAACCCATAACATTGCCCACAGCAGGTAGAGCCTCTAACCACTGTGCTATTGCAGTTATTAGCAAACGCTTATTATTTATTTATTCAGCCAGTATATTCACTGGATTGAAGATGCATATTACACGATGGTATTATCATTTTCTGTCAATGGACTTGATCCCATATACAGACTCAGAAATGAGAGACAGCACAACTCGAGCAAATACATGCAATGTGAAGAATATATCAGTTGTTCTGCAGAAATCACTACTCTTTGTGGTAACTGGACTAGATCTGGATGAATGCATTAGAATGGTCCTTTCAATGTCACATGGTATGTATATATCCATGAACAAAAGACCAAGCATAAAATTGACCTTTTGCGCTGCCCATAAGGCAATTCAGCTGCTTGCTGAATCCTTCCATTTTATAATTTTTCATGGTACAAGTCCGAAACACTCACTCTGGGCATGTGGGTTCTTGGATACAAACTCATAGTTAAGGGTTTACATTGTAGATCTGGAAACCTCCATTATCCCATGTTGTTTCTAATACAAATAATGGGTTTGTTTCTACATTCAAAACAAGATCCTATTTCATGCCTTCATTTCCATGCAAATAAGATACATAGTTTACAACAGGAAAATTAGGGGTATACTGCTGTCCAGTGAAGGCTTGTATGGACCAGTGTCACATGTACGTACTGTTACACAGCAGTTGGTCGAGATAAATTTCAACTTTGTGATTGTTTTGTAGAGTAAACTTATCACATTTGCTCTATTACTGGATGGACGGTTGTTTTCAAGACCTAATTACAAGAATATACGAGAATATTATATTAGCTGCTTCTAATTCAGGGCATTTTCAAAGGAGTTAGTAAGTCTTTTCTTTTAAGGTGTGAACCTCAAATAATCCAACAGACATTACAGAAAATGTCAAAAATATTAGTTTTGATATTGTTATGAAATGGTATATGCTGACAGTGAGTAAAAAAGTACTAATGGTTCTAGTTGGACAAATACCCCTCCCCCCAAAACTCATTTCAAACAACTGCTCATTCGTGTATTATATGGACGGGGTTCTATCTACCTGCGAGGGTGGAACTTGGGAGGTAACATGACTGCCACTGGAAAACTGCAACATAGAAAAGTAAACAAATAATATTACAAAAAATCACAATAGCAGACAACATTGGGAATCATGCATGGAGAATACACGCATGCAAGGTAACAAGACTATTAAATATAAAGGTAGGTAACAAGGTTCTGAATTATACAGCACTATACTAGCCACATAGCATTCATATTTGGCACAACCATTTCAAATCTATATATTAAATTTGTTGGGTTTTAAACGTGATGGAAGAGGTACTATATTCATGTTGTTGATTGCTATCATTTAAACTTTTTTTTTCACCTTGTCCAAAAATGAAAATTTGTTTCACCTTGTCCAAAATGAAAATGTTTTTCACCTTGTCCAAAATGTAAATGTTTGGCTGCTTTTGTCAGCATGTTCTATATGATGTTCACAGAGAAAACATGAAATGTACTACGTAATGTATCTCAATCAAAATAGGATAACAACTGTTTTAAACAAATTAGTTTTCCCATTATTTCCAGACCTTACAGATTTAATGGTTCAGAAAGTTTGCATAATTTGAACCTGACGATGTGAAGTTAGGTTCAACAGGTTCAACCAGGAATATTGCTAACCGTCTTATACATCTACCTACTTACCTGTCTCTCCATCTGCCATTCTCTACTTAATCCAGCTACTTCTTCTTGGTGCGTGTTCTCAAGATCTTTCATCTTCTTTTTGAAAGCAACTTTTAACTTGCGTTCATTGTCAGCCATTTTCTTTTCTAGTTCACCAACTCTTGTTTTGAAATCGTTTTCCAGCTCTTGCAGTTTAATTTCATACTCTTTCCGCTGTTCCTCCATCTCAAGTTCTTTGTCCTGTACAAGAAACATGGTTTCGGAAAATAATATACATATATATATATATATATATATATATATATATATATATATATATATATATATATATGTGCACATTTCAGCATACATATAAATAACTATGATACTGTATGTACCTGATGGTGTCCAGATAAGGTGACAACAGACAACACAACTTTATATGTATCTGATGGTGTCCAGGTAAGGTGACAACAGACAACACAACTTTATATGTACCTGATGGTGTCCGGGTAAGGTGACAACAGACAACTCAACTTT